AAATTGATAATACTCATTACCTAAGTAATTGCACCAATCAATGAAAATGATCATTAGGTCAAACAAATTCAAAATATTAACATCAATATTAAGAAAAATAATATTAATACTGATGTTTGCTGATTGATACTAGAGTGAGACAGCGCATTTGAGACCACATGTGGACTGCTGACAAGATGAAACCAGAATGGTCCATGGGAATCAATTCCATCTGAATTTTACTCCAGATTTTCATGTACCTTCTATAGCCGTGATGATCTAGTGGTTATGATTCTACGTTGTGGCCGTAGCTACCCCGGTTCGAATCCGGGTCACGGCAATACGACAGGTACTTTTTTTTTCTCCACAAATCATCAAAAATTTCATCCTCAGATCATAATTGCAGACGTTCACGATTACAAATCAAGATAAGACTACCATCTCCTCCATTCATGTCCACTTACGAGGAATTAATATGCCCTTGAACTCATAAAAATAATTATTATACAACTTGTATTATTTCTTCTTTAACCATTGTTTGTGATTGTAAATAGGAATATGCTTTTGGTAAATAAATAAATGATTGTCAATGAAGAAAAATGGGGAATTAATGTGAGGATGAACCTGTTGGGTGTATGCAGGGAAGATCCGGAAGGAATTGCAGATCCTGCAAGGAAATTATATTTCAGGATAATTCTTCAGTTTTTTTTTACACTAGTCAGTTGTAATTGCAAATACAAATTTTTTATATTTCTAGAGCAAAAATTTTTTATCGGCGGTGCACGTGCCACGTGACGGCCAGGACCGAGGGACCGGTCACTTAGGAAATCACTGGTCCGATTCGAATGGAAATCAAGAAAGGAATTACTAGAAGTTTGTAAAAATCACTAGAAATTCCGCAATTTTCATAATTCAATGACATGATTTCTCAAAATCATTAAATTTTTTTGAATTTGAGTAACTTTTCACTTCTTTGAATGGAACGTCACCGGTTAGATTTTTTTTTAACAACAACGTGATATTTTTTAAAATAAAAATTGTTTGGGGTAGAAGCAGCATGATTGAATACAGCCAAGAAAAAATAAAATCGATTCACCGTTTTGTTTTCAACGAATAATTATAGAAAGTTCATAAATTTACATAATTAATAATAGTTGCAATAAAAAATACATCTATATTTATGCTAATTCTCCATCCACAATACAATCAATCCGGTAACACAATATACTGTCAATAGATTGTGCTTTAACCTGAGCCGTTTAACACCGCGTGAACTTTTTACCGAGACTGTCGCGCGATAACAACCTTAAGAAATCAAAGAAAGAATTGAAAAAGTCATAGAAAATCATAAAATTCTAAAAATCACTGGTCCACTCTCTTCAAGTATTAGTAACCCCTTGGATCGGAACATTTGATTGATGAAAAAAATAGGATTCTGTCCAGGTGCCTCGAGAAAACCAAAAACATTAATCAAAACCAGCAGCGCGAGTTTGTCCGCCATCTGCGGAGATCCAGGTCCCTCACAGTGGCTTATATTTTTCAACAAAAAAAAAATAGGGCATTCAGTCTATTTAAACAAAGAGGAAATTA